CTGTCACGTTTTGGGAGTGACGGCGCTGACGGCGACCGACACGCACCGCCACCATTGTTTTCCACCAACTGTGAAAGCAATAGGACCCTTACCCCCGTTCGGGGACTCGGCCTAATCACGAAAACAATAAATGAAAATGGACGTAAGAAATATGTGGTGCACAGTAACATACTTGACAGAGCATAATCAAGCGTTTCCTGATTCATGCAGCATAAAATCGGAACTGTCTCCTGAAAATGTGAGACAGGCATCTACTCGTAGAACGTGATCAAATCACGTATAAAAACAGTTCGTTTTAACTGTAAGTGCATACAACAAAAAGATTGTAATCGTCTCTCTTTATTATTAGTAACTTTGATTAATATTTTAATGCCTTGTATGAGTGATTGATTTTGTGGAGGCCTATAATGATCTTAGAAAATCAAAAGAAATTCACATTTATTTTAAAGACCTTATGACGGGTTTGATTTATTTAGAAATACAGTTTTAATACCATTTTATATTAGAAGAGAACTACTAAAGGTTTCAAAATCAGTTGTTGTTTTTTTTGTCTGATCCCCCAAATCGAAATAACCCCATAGCAACGCCCTTAGAGACGAAAAAACTTCACAGCCCTTGGTGACGTCAGAGTGGGTACGTTTCAATGCTGTAAGTTGTTTACAATTTAGTATTCGTTCTTTTTTCGCGGATATTCAAGATGACAAGGCCGTGTACAGCGAGTCTGACATAAATACTAGAATGTAACATTTCGTTGTCACTGAGATAGTCCAGTGGTTGTGTCGATGGACTGCCATTCCACAAACTTGGGTTCAAATCCCACCTCGGACACTTTTTCACACTCAAAACGGCAATTTATGTGTAGTGAGCAATTGTCACCTGTAGAGGGCAGTATTGTGTTGGGCATCAGTGGAGAGAAGAGAGAAAAGGCAGTCCTGTGGCATAGATCCATGGTTTTCAATGCATGGGCGTTACCCGCTGTGACGTCACACACAGGTTAGAGCATAGACAACTTAAATTCATGAAAAACACCTTCTTTTTTATAAAATATAGGATTTTTTTTGCCGGAATCTCTTTCAAATTGACATTGTCATGCAATTTTGATATCCACCATTTTTTTTTTTTAAACCCGTCATAAGGTCTTTAAGAAGTACAATGCACATGCCCAAACAAAGTGCTTGTACAGTTGGAAGCACTAGAAGCATTGCACACGATTACAGAAAAGGAGATACATGAGAGCTCAGGATTCAACACGGCCGAGAACCATCATCATCGTGTTTTTCCCCTTCACACTTCTGTCCCTGCTCCACATCCACACGTTTCTCTCGTCGCAGGCGTCTCGGCGTGCCCTGGTTCAGACGCGCTCCACATTTTTGGCGCGCTCCCGGCCGCTCTCTGGGAGACGCTGGTCTGACCCGTGACTGCGTTTGTATAAAACACGCCATAAACCGTTCTATGGCTGCTATTTGGTTTGATTTGTGGCGCGCGCTGCAGCCCTGCCCTGCCATTAAGCTGCAAAACACGCCCAGTGACCCCGGCGTTTAAGAGGAGCTGAGCATTCTGGGGCTTTTTTAACAACCGTGTAGTGTCCTCACGTTCTCTATTGAGTCCAGATGTGGAGACAACGTACATGACGATAATACGGAATTTATACTGGTTTCTTTGTTAAGCTAAAGTTACAGTTTTTATACTTAATTCTTTATTAAGCTAAAGTTACAGATTGTATTAGGGCTGGACGATATTGGAAATTAGTGCGATATTTGATATGAGTATTTAGTATTGCGATATTTTTTTTTTCTTTCAACAGTGGCTCAGTTGGTAGAGCATTTGCCTTTGGGCCTGAAGGTTGTGGGTTCAAGCCCACCATGAGACCTACTTCACGACTCCCACTGATGTCTGCTGTCGTTGTGTCCTTAGGCAAGACACTTAACCCCACTTTGCCTGAAGCCCCCGCTGAAAGATCTCAGCTCCTGTGGACTCAGCACCTGCAGGAGGATCAGTGAGGGGCTGGTGCTCTGTGGACTGGGTGCAGCTCTGACTGCCACCCCCCCAACCGAGAAATGGATTAAGGGGAAGAAAATGAATGGATGGATTTTTTTCTTTCACCTAAAATTGCAATCTGCATTGAAACGCAAGAGACAATAACAAAAACATTAATGACATACAAATGCATATATTTACATACTACTTGCTTGTTGTTTTTGTTGAATGTTGGTGTGTTTTGTTGTCTTTAATTAAGACAACATTAAGACAATAGCGATATTGATATTTTTTCTATATATTGTGCAGCCCTAAATTATATACTCGCTTCTTTATTATGCTAAAGTTACAAATGTTATAATTGCTTCTTTATTAAGCTAAATTTCTAAAGTTAGAGATGTTATACTTGATTCTTCATTTGGCTAAAGTTACAGTTTTTATACTTGATTCCTTTTTACGATAAAAGAGACGTGTTATACTCACTTCTGTATAATGCAAAAGCGAGAGAACTTCACTTTTTGACGAGTTTTAAAACAGAACATTTGGACAGAAGGCGCGAGCGGGACACGTTTGCACCGATTTGTTTCAGTCGCTCCTGATATTCACCCAAACTTAAATCTGTGTTTGTGTCATTGGATTTTCTATAGTTTCAACAGACAGTTTAGTGACTTCTCAAACATCAGATACCCCTTTGTAAATTTGGTTTTCATTGAATTTTCCTAATCACTGCTAAATATCTCATTGGCCAAACCTCTTTACCTACAGATGCAAAAATCAATAGACAAACTCTGGAAAATATTGCGTTCATTAGCGACGCCATGGCATTGTTCCTCTGGCGAAGTGAAAGACGAGGCACACAGTGTTTGTAATGACATATTGGTGCAGCGGCTGGGAGTCTATAACACATTTTGCTTGTAGCTCCGAGGCAAAAGAAACAATTAGCGCTCATTAATAAATTGACAGAGCCTATTTAACAAGCCCGCTCTCTGGGCTCTGCGGCGGATCCAGGGTCTTGGGTGGTCTGGAACCGGAAATTCAACCAGGAAGGCTGTATTTTCCAACAATGCCCCGTGTGAAGGTCAGCCAATTTGTCCATACAACATTTCATTCAGTGCGTTTGTATTTACTGAGAAAATGGACTGTAGACTACACAACCGCCCAGACTCTCAGTATACAAGCAGTATATATGCAGACCTCTCTTGTCTCAGTATACATGCAGACCTCTCCTGTCTCAGTATACATACAGACCTCTCTTGTCTCAGTATACATGTAGACCTCTCCTGTCTCAGTATACATGCAGACCTCTCTTGTCTCAGTATACATGCAGACCTCTCCTGTCTCAGTATACATGCAGACCTCTCTTGTCTCAGTATACATGCAGACCACTCTTGTCTCAGTATACATGCAGACCTCTCTTGTCTCAGTATACATGCAGACCTCTCTTGTCTCAGTATACATGCAGACCACTCTTGTCTCAGTATACATGCAGACCACTCTTGTCTCAGTATACATACAGACCTCTCCTGTCTCAGTATACATGCAGACCTCTCCTGTCTCAGTATACATGCAGACCTCTCCTGTCTCAGTATACATGCAGACCTCTCTTGTCTCAGTATACATGCAGACCTCTCTTGTCTCAGTATACATGCAGACCTCTCCTGTCTCAGTATACATGCAGACCTCTCTTGTCTCAGTATACATGCAGACCTCTCTTGTCTCAGTATACATGCAGACCTCTCTGTCTCAGTATACATGCAGACCTCTCCTGTCTCAGTATACATGCAGACCTCTCCTGTCTCAGTATACATGCAGACCTCTCTTGTCTCAGTATACATGCAGACCTCTCTTGTCTCAGTATACATGCAGACCTCTCTTGTCTCAGTATACATGCAGACCACTCTTGTCTCAGTATACATGCAGACCACTCTTGTCTCAGTATACATACAGACCTCTCCTGTCTCAGTATACATGCAGACCTCTCCTGTCTCAGTATACATGCAGACCTCTCCTGTCTCAGTATACATGCAGACCTCTCTTGTCTCAGTATACATGCAGACCTCTCTTGTCTCAGTATACATGCAGACCTCTCTGTCTCAGTATACATGCAGACCTCTCTGTCTCAGTATACATGCAGACCAGTCTCAGTATACAGGACATATAAGAAGCTTTCATAGTTATGCTGATACAAACTCTCCATCTCCATGTCTCCTTAAAACCCTAGATGGCCGAAAACTGGACTTCAAACACTCTTGTATTCCTTATATTTAAATACAACATAAATATTCCTCAATTATATCTAAAAATATCTAAAAATGTCTAAAATTCTTGGTGGGGTTTAGCACACCCCAAGTTCCCATGTTCTGTTTATTCACTGAAATGGAACAAAATAGTCAATTCAATTCTAGTTAGACCCTCTAACAGTCTCTGCATTGGCAAAAACTCTAAATCCCAGTGGGAGAAGGTGAGAAACCTCGGGGAAGTCCACTTTGAGAGAAGGATCCGCTCCCACAGACGATGTCGAAATAGAAGATAAGGAGAAAGAAAAAGTGTTGCCGTCACTGTCAGCTTCTTTCAATGACACACAACTTCCTGTAAATCTATCTTATCTTACTTTCCGTTTACTGACACAGATCTGGTTTCTTTTAAATATCTGGTCTGAGGATTCATTGCAAAAACAAAGAATTCCCGAGCTCAACATAGTTTGATGTTTACCATTACTAAAACTATTCCATGCTCACTCGCTCATTAGCAAACACCATTCCAATCAAGGCGCTTTTGATTTCCCAATTGTTCTGACGACGCGATCGTTTGCATTGTCCCCAAAAAAAACCCGAAGCGCACCAGTTCCTTCCCCCGCGCAATCACCGTCGCTTTGCCAATTATCGCTCTCATTACGCTTTGTCAAAAAGGAAATTGCTGTAATCCCAGAGAAACATCCCGACATATGCGCGGGAAGGGGAGGTGGCTGTACGTCGCCCGTGGCAACGGGGTTTACCGTGGCCCAGGCTTGTCCGCACAGGCCGATGCTGCAGATTGATGCGGGCCCCTTGGTAGTCTGCCTGCGACGCTTTAATAGAACAGTGCAAGCATCGAGCACGCTCGGAGGAAGCGCGGGAGAGGAGGCGCAGGAGAGGAGGCGTGAGAGAAAAGGCTCTGGAGAGGAGGCACGGGAGAAGAGGCGCAGGAGAGGAGGTGCAAGAGAGAAAAGGTGCGAGAGAAGAGGCGTGGGAGAGGTGGCGAGAGAGAGGAGGTGCGAGAGAAGAGGCGTGGGAGAGGAGGCGACAGAGAGGAGGTGCAAGAGAGAAAAGGTGCGAGAGAAGAGGCGTGGGAGAGGTGGCGAGAGAGAGGAGGTGCGAGAGAAGAGGCGTGGGAGAGGAGGCGACAGAGAGGAGGTGCGGGAGAAGAGGCGCGGGAGAGGAGGCGACAGAGAGGAGGAGCGGGAGAAGAGGCGCGGGAGAGGAGGCGACAGAGAGGAGGAGCGGGAGAAGAGGCGCGGGAGAGGAGGCGACAGAGAGGAGGAGCGGGAGAAGAGGCGCGGGAGAGGAGGCGACAGAGAGGAGGAGCGGGAGAAGAGGCGCGGGAGAGGAGGCGACAGAGAGGAGGTGCAAGAGAGAAAAGGTGCGAGAGAAGAGGCGTGGGAGAGGTGGCGAGAGAGAGGAGGTGCGAGAGAAGAGGCGTGGGAGAGGAGGCGACAGAGAGGAGGAGCGGGAGAAGAGGCGAGAGAGAGGAGGTGCGAGAGAAGAGGCGTGGGAGAGGAGGCGACAGAGAGGAGGTGCGAGAGAAGAGGCGTGGGAGAGGAGGCGACAGAGAGGAGGTGCGGGAGAAGAGGCGAGAGAGAGGAGGTGCGAGAGAAGAGGCGTGGGAGAGGAGGCGACAGAGAGGAGGTGCGAGAGAAGAGGCGTGGGAGAGGAGGCGACAGAGAGGAGGTGCGGGAGAAGAGGCGCGGGAGAGGAGGCGACAGAGAGGAGGTGCGGGAGAAGAGGCGCGGGAGAGGAGGCGACAGAGAGGAGGTGCGGGAGAAGAGGCGCGGGAGAGGAGGCGACAGAGAGGAGGAGCGGGAGAAGAGGCGCGGGAGAGGAGGCGACAGAGAGGAGGAGCGGGAGAAGAGGCGCGGGAGAGGAGGCGACAGAGAGGAGGTGCAAGAGAGAAAAGGTGCGAGAGAAGAGGCGTGGGAGAGGTGGCGAGAGAGAGGAGGTGCGAGAGAAGAGGCGTGGGAGAGGAGGCGACAGAGAGGAGGTGCGAGAGAAGAGGCGTGGGAGAGGAGGCGACAGAGAGGAGGTGCGGGAGAAGAGGCGCGGGAGAGGAGGCGACAGAGAGGAGGTGCGGGAGAAGAGGCGCGGGAGAGGAGGCGACAGAGAGGAGGTGCGGGAGAAGAGGCGCGGGAGAGGAGGCGACAGAGAGGAGGAGCGGGAGAAGAGGCGCGGGAGAGGAGGCGACAGAGAGGAGGAGCGGGAGAAGAGGCGCGGGAGAAGAGGCGCGGGAGAGGAGGCGACAGAGAGGAGGAGCGGGAGAAGAGGCGCGGGAGAGGAGGCGACAGAGAGGAGGAGCGGGAGAAGAGGCGCGGGAGAGGAGGCGACAGAGAGGAGGAGCGGGAGAAGAGGCGTGGGAGAGGAGGCGACAGAGAGGAGGAGCGGGAGAAGAGGCGTGGGAGAGGAGGCGAGAGAGGAGAGGAGGAGCGGGAGAAGAGGCGTGGGAGAGGAGGCGACAGAGAGGAGGAGCGGGAGAAGAGGCGCGGGAGAGGAGGCGACAGAGAGGAGGAGCGGGAGAAGAGGCGTGGGAGAGGAGGCGACAGAGAGGAGGAGCGGGAGAAGAGGCGCGGGAGAGGAGGCGACAGAGAGGAGGAGCGGGAGAAGAGGCGTGGGAGAGGAGGCGACAGAGAGGAGGAGCGGGAGAAGAGGCGCGGGAGAGGAGGCGACAGAGAGGAGGAGCGGGAGAAGAGGCGTGGGAGAGGAGGCGACAGAGAGGAGGAGCGGGAGAAGAGGCGCGGGAGAGGAGGCGACAGAGAGGAGGAGCGGGAGAAGAGGCGCGGGAGAGGAGGCGACAGAGAGGAGGAGCGGGAGAAGAGGCGTGGGAGAGGAGGCGACAGAGAGGAGAGGAGCGGGAGAAGAGGCGCGGGAGAGGAGGCGACAGAGAGGAGGAGCGGGAGAAGAGGCGCGGGAGAGGAGGCGAGAGAGAGGAGGAGCGGGAGAAGAGGCGTGGGAGAGGAGGCGACAGAGAGGAGGAGTGGGAGAAGAGGCGTGGGAGAGGAGGCGAGAGAGAGGAGGAGCGGGAGAAGAGGCGCGGGAGAGGAGGCGAGAGAGAGGAGGTGCGGGAGAAGAGGCGCGGGAGAGGAGGCGAGAGAGAGGAGGAGCGGGAGAAGAGGCGCGGGAGAGGAGGCGAGAGAGAGGAGGTGCGGGAGAAGAGGCGCGGGAGAGGAGGCGAGAGAGAGGAGGAGCGGGAGAAAGAGGCGCGGGAGAGGAGGCGAGAGAGAGGAGGTGCGGGAGAAGAGGCGCGGGAGAGGAGGCGACAGAGAGGAGGAGCGGGAGAAGAGGCGCGGGAGAGGAGGCGACAGAGAGGAGGAGCGGGAGAAGAGGCGCGGGAGAGGAGGCGACAGAGAGGAGGTGCAAGAGAGAAAAGGTGCGAGAGAAGAGGCGTGGGAGAGGTGGCGAGAGAGAGGAGGTGCGAGAGAAGAGGCGTGGGAGAGGAGGCGACAGAGAGGAGGTGCGAGAGAAGAGGCGTGGGAGAGGAGGCGACAGAGAGGAGGTGCGGGAGAAGAGGCGCGGGAGAGGAGGCGACAGAGAGGAGGTGCGGGAGAAGAGGCGCGGGAGAGGAGGCGACAGAGAGGAGGTGCGGGAGAAGAGGCGCGGGAGAGGAGGCGACAGAGAGGAGGAGCGGGAGAAGAGGCGCGGGAGAGGAGGCGACAGAGAGGAGGAGCGGGAGAAGAGGCGCGGGAGAAGAGGCGCGGGAGAGGAGGCGACAGAGAGGAGGAGCGGGAGAAGAGGCGCGGGAGAGGAGGCGACAGAGAGGAGGAGCGGGAGAAGAGGCGCGGGAGAGGAGGCGACAGAGAGGAGGAGCGGGAGAAGAGGCGTGGGAGAGGAGGCGACAGAGAGGAGGAGCGGGAGAAGAGGCGTGGGAGAGGAGGCGAGAGAGAGGAGGAGCGGGAGAAGAGGCGTGGGAGAGGAGGCGACAGAGAGGAGGAGCGGGAGAAGAGGCGCGGGAGAGGAGGCGACAGAGAGGAGGAGCGGGAGAAGAGGCGTGGGAGAGGAGGCGACAGAGAGGAGGAGCGGGAGAAGAGGCGCGGGAGAGGAGGCGACAGAGAGGAGGAGCGGGAGAAGAGGCGTGGGAGAGGAGGCGACAGAGAGGAGGAGCGGGAGAAGAGGCGCGGGAGAGGAGGCGACAGAGAGGAGGAGCGGGAGAAGAGGCGTGGGAGAGGAGGCGACAGAGAGGAGGAGCGGGAGAAGAGGCGCGGGAGAGGAGGCGACAGAGAGGAGGAGCGGGAGAAGAGGCGCGGGAGAGGAGGCGACAGAGAGGAGGAGCGGGAGAAGAGGCGTGGGAGAGGAGGCGTGGAGAGGAGGAGCGACAGAGAGGAGGAGCGGGAGAAGAGGGCGCGGGAGAGGAGGCGACAGAGAGGAGGAGCGGGAGAAGAGGCGCGGGAGAGGAGGCGGGAGAGAGAGGAGGAGCGGGAGAAGAGGCGTGGGAGAGGAGGCGACAGAGAGGAGGAGTGGGAGAAGAGGCGTGGGAGAGGAGGCGAGAGAGAGGAGGAGGGAGAGAGGCGGGGAGAGGAGGCGAGAGAGGGGGGAAGAGGGAGAGGAGGCGAGAGAGAGGAGGTGCGGGAGAAGAGGCGCGGGAGAGGAGGCGAGAGAGAGGAGGAGCGGGAGAGAGAGGCGCGGGAGAGAGGAGGGAGGGAGAGAGAGGAGGAGCGGGAGAAGAGGCGCGGGAGAGGAGGCGAGAGAGAGGAGGAGCGGGAGAAGAGGCGCGGGAGAGGAGGCGAGAGAGAGGAGGTGCGGGAGAAGAGGCGCGGGAGAGGAGGCGACAGAGAGGAGGAGCGGGAGAAGAGGCGCGGGAGAGGAGGCGAGAGAGAGGATCAACATTCTTGTTCATCGATAAAATCAACTAAAAATTAAGGAATTGCTCAAAAATATATTGTGGAAATGACCCAAAATGAACTTCCAAAACATACAGAATATTCAGCAAAAAATGAACATATTGATTAATTGATTATTGTTTGTAAACACTAAATCATCCTTATACAGTTTTCAGGTGTTCACATCAAAACCTTGTAGTGGAAATGTTTTAAATTTGTCAAAACATTTTCTTGGAAACTGTTTTACCAAAACAACTAAAACTTGACACAAGGGAATATATTGAGCCCATAATGTATTGATTTGTTTATTATGGATTATTATGTATTAATCTCACACAGTCAAACAATAGAATGGGGACGTTGTATCCTGGAGTTTATGAACAGCCGTGTTAAACTTGGATCAGCACCGTCCCTGTCACAGTGCGGTTCTGTCACTAACATTCACAAACTGGACTTTTTGACCAATAGTGACTCATATGACTCCTTCTTAGATACTTCTAGAAAGAAAGACAGGCTGTGATCTGATTTGTGATTTCACGACACAACGACAGCCCAAAAAACATGAAAATGTAGGTATATCCCAGCTCTGAAGTCGTGGCTCAGAACCGGTTCAAAGCAGCTTTCAGATTTATTTAATACAACTGTGGGAAGGACAATGTTGTTGTTCGTTTCAAACATTGATTGATTGCGGAGCATTGCCATTAATCGCCCACATATTTTCCGTGCGCCTATAAACATTTTCTTTTTTTCATTCTCAAACTGGACTCTTTGGTTTAGCGGGTCATGTTTATGAGAATATTGGCTCTTTTTGGCCAAATTGAAGATCAAAACAGAGAAACGCCAGCCATGGAGAGGAGAGGAAACTGCGTATGTGGTGACCCCCAAGCTAGAAAATACAGAATGCCATAGAAATATTATCCTTTCTTTTTTAGAAATTTGTAGTTTTTAAATTTTTCTGACATCCAAAAAGAGAGGGGACTTGTTTTAAGCGACACTCACGGTAAGATATTTTTCTAAATGATCTATTCTCAAACTTGTGTCAACTTGTGTGTGTGTTTGGGGTTTTCTCGAGTCAAATGACATTATTTATTGCTCGTACTTCCAGTTCCAGCAGATTGTACCATGTGACATTATTTATTTAAAAGCAGACTCAAATTTCCCATTTCAATGCCAGGTTAGCATTGTTCGTATACAGTCTATTGTTTATCCATATATGTTTGACTTAAAAAACCATTTCAGATTCGAAAAAATGAAGCCAAATTTACAATCTGTTTTAAAAGGACACTTTAAGAACAATTTTGTATAATTTTAAATGTGTAAATATCCACTGTCTCACCGCTATTATGACTCAAGACTTTCAACTTCAAAAACCTGAGCGTCTAATGTGAGAGCGATGCAGCCAGGGAGAGCCCTACACACACAAGCCTAATATAAAGCCCCATATTTCTTAACAATTCATACAAAACAAAATGTCTTTCCCGCCGCATGGACCCGGCTTGGTATTTTGAAGCAAACCCAGGAGAGTCTGCCTTTGTTTCACAATCTTAATATTTCAGCAAAGCGACTGCCTTAATAAAGTCATTAGTGTTTTTGGGGAAGCTTTTTTCTGCACAAGGCGTCACTTTGAGGGAATAAAAACAGCGTGTAATCAAAGCAACGGGCCATAAAAATGAGTGGTGTGGCATTTTAATAAGAAGAAGCCCGGACGAGGCAGTCTGTGTGACATCCCCGACGGCGGGAAAGTTATTCTTCAAGTTAAATTAAAATAATGCTGAAATGATCCTCGCATGTGGCCGCGCTGTCCGGTGATGACCCTCTACACCGACGTCATTTGTGATCGCTGCTTGTTTATTTTTGGAAATGATGTGATTGCTGCTTTTAAAAGACCTTTATGATCAGGGCAGTTGTCCCAAGACCTTAATAATAATAATAATAATAATAATAATAATGCATTGGTTTTATTTTGTGCTTATGTGTAAACTCAAAGACGCTTCACATGTCATTCATTCACTTCATCCACGGTGGGGATAATGTAGCCACAGCTGCCCCGGGGCGCACTGACCGAAGCGTGGCAGCCAGTATGTGCCATCGGCCCCTCCCACCACCACCAACCATTCACACATGATCAGGCCAGAGGTCAGAATACCTTTTCAAACAGGGAGGTTGTCAGGGCTAAACCATTTGGGGGAAAAAAAGAAAAACATTGTTAATACTAATAATTTAATACTAAAGTAATTTGAAATGTTATGTTTTTAAACTGCATGGCCGTTCTGTGTTGACAAACCAATCCATGAAGGTGACTGTATGAACTGCCAAACTAACAACTGATTTCAGATTAAAGTATCTTTACTCTTCCTCAGAAAATAGGTCAAAATGTATTTAATTGTATGAATATTTTTGTAATTCTTAGTTCAGTGTTCCCCAAACTTTTTTATTGACAACATTCACACCACTTGCAGAATTATATACAGAATCAAACAAGTAAAAAATGTCTTTCACTTATTTTCTTCACATTGGTGATATTGGATCATTTTCAACCCCAAACATCATCACACGGCCCACTGGTTGAAAAACACTTAATTTATAGACTCACATACTAACAAGACATGTCCAATGTGGGTCCAACTTAGTCATTTTAGCTTTTAACAGACCTGAAGTTTGTTTTTAGATCCATCCACGCTATTATCAGTAACTGGCACAACCATGTAACTCCGCCCCTTTTGCCTAAAAGCTCTTGTCTCTGTCCTGTTATAGTATGATGTCATTGTACCGCTATGACATCACGCTCAGAGCATTTGGAAAACAGACAAAGCCTCCCTCTGGTGGCAGTAATTCTCTATTCTTAGTTGAATGCATCCGTCCTGAGGGCACTTCTAACTTTCTATCAACCCTTTAGGCACCAGACATGTTTTTTTTTAGAAATGCATTGTGAAATAGACAAAAAGTGAAATCCTGTGTTGGACGTAGTGGACCACTTTAATCAAAAACAAAAGTAAATGTAAGAATAATGTAGGCAGAGGTTTGTGGGAGGCAAAGTCGCTGTATAGAAAGAGCCCTGGATTTAGCAGTTTGTGGAGTTACTCAGGTACTTTGGCGCCTAAATGGATGTCGAAGTAAAAAGTGGAAGAAGCCGTTTGTTCCCTCCCTCCCTCTTTTCTGTTTCACTGATGAGGGTTGAAGTGATGTTCCAAAGAAAAGAAGCCAAATCAGATTATTCCACTGATGAAGTACAGCGAGTTGCACCATAGACTGGAGACAGGGAAGGACCGAGCTTTTCCAAAAACACCGGTGTGTTTTTTTCATGTGGCAATGTCTGGTTTCTCTGAGGATTACTCCCGTTTCTCCTCTGCACAGTCACTGGTTTGAGCGTTCATCTCTCTAAATGTAAGACGTCATTTACTCATGAATTGGAAGTCAACAAATGCACCTTCCAACACACAAAGGATTCAGGAAGTTGTGTCTTTTTTGAAAAATATATATTTTACGAGCGCCTTTAGAAAGTGGTAAGCATTCATGAATAATTTTTTTGGACCTTTCCCTTATTTTTTTATTTTTTATTTTTCTATGTTTTTGATGTTCCCCCTTTCTGTCCATTTTCAAATCAATAATTTAAAAAACTATTATAAGTATTTGTTTTCTTACTCTGTTCTGTTAGAAATATGCAACATACACTAAAGTTTAACGGTTATGGCAAAGGAGTACGACGTTTTGGTGTAATTCAGAATGAGTCTGGTGTGTGTGTGAGTGGTTGTTGGTGGTGGGAGGGGCCGACGGCACAGACTGGTTGCCTCGCTTCTGCCAGTGTGCCCCAGGGCAGCTGTGGCTAAATTTGGTCTTTGAAAACTACTTTCCCACAATAGCACAGATATTTTTTTTACCAACAAATATTCTGATGCCTCGGTTCTACAGGGTTAATACTGTTTACAAATTGAACGATTGACTCCCCGCTGTGCAGTAAATGTGCAGTATTGATGTTTTACAAGAAAAACACATGTTCAACAGGAATGGGCCGTGCTAACCCAATAGTTCTAGTGAAGTGCTCATGGGTGAAGTTTTGCAACAATACGTTTTGGCTGCATTTAAGTCAAAACTCCTTGAGCGCCGTAACCTTTTCTGCCACACTCACCATTTTGGCTTTTTTCTTTGTCAATCCTTAACTGACCGATTAGGTGGCTTTGGCTTTGGTCGCTGGAGCTTGTTGGAGAAATAACCGCATCTAAATATGCTTTGGACTTCAGCTCCAGCGAGTCCAGACCCAGGGTGACACTTCGTCGCTTTGCCTTTTTAATGAGCGAGTAGGCGGATTGGTGTGTGCGGGACTTAAAGGCCAACTTCGTCCAACACCACTTCCACTCATTATCTCTGCCAGCGGACTATGTCTCACTCTCAGTAAGTTAGCAAGAAACTTTTTAAAAAATGTCGGGAATAGGACGAAGTACAAATGGCCCGGATCCCTGCTCCAGAAGGGTTTTTTTTTTCACTTTTAAATGCAGCAGTTCACAGCCGTCTTCACCCCAACAACACCTCGGCACAGTTAGATTTGTTTTTCTTTTTTACCACCAGTGTCCAAGCTCCACTGGGATTATTCTTCTCTCACAAATCACTAAACCAAATGTTCTATCAATACAAACCCCACATCATTCAACATCAAAAATATATCTTAATTTTAGCACATTTTGACTGCCTTTAAAACACCATTGGCCAATGGGACAAGCAAAATGATCCTGTAAGAAATGTTTTCCTTGGAATGAGAAAATACCGATTGTTTACTAAGACCAAATGGCTTGTCCCATTGGCAAATCTTGTGTTAAGATTCAGAAGTACTCAAATTAAGCAACTATTACTTCTTATTTTATCATTTTCTGTACTGCAGTCACTTTGCAAATCGTGAAAAGAGAGAAAAACCTTTAGAAGACTGGTAAGACTGGTCACCTCCGCAGTTTCCTGATTGGCCAAAACGTAATTCAAATCCTTAAGGCCTCTCGTCATTGGTGTAACTGTTCCCTTACAGACAATCTTACTGGTCAGAATTATGCCATGGGGAAGGACCGTGAAAATACATTATTGTTGATAAAAAACGTACAGTACATAATAGTACAATATAGCCTGGTTTGAAATACAAATTATTATAAAAATGAATCTAAGTTGCTGATATCATCTTTAACTATACATGAAGGTAGCTACAGTATATGTCCAGTACATGATATGGTAGTGATGACATTTATACCAGCTTTTATGTAAAAAATCTGATTCAAAATGACCAGACAGCTGTGAATAAAAATATTGCTCTGAGAAAGCAAAGGTGTAGCGTCATTCATCATTTCCAAGTTGACCGCAAAGCAAAGCAATACACAGAATAGTTGCATTTCTTACCTTTTGTGATGACGACGGAGGAGGTTCCCAGGCCGGCCGGCAGCAGAGGGAGGAGAGAGAAGAGAGGAGGGGGAGGAGAGAGGAGAGAGGAGAGAAAGCAAACGTTAGTAAAAGTCTCTCTTTTCTGCATCGCTGCCCTTTATCCGATCGAAAAGTGCGCAATAACAGTGAGACTATTGTTTATCGAATGGACGCAAGCCAACGGTGTCAGAACGGGTCGGCTTCAGCGAACTATGCAGGAAGTGGACGAGAATAAATCACTATGACAACAGGTCTAACTGAGCCAGTGTCGCCCCAGTTCTGATGTACTGTACAATGTGGGCCGATTTAAAGCTGGGGTACTTTTCTTTTTAGTTTACTGAATAAGAGTCTTGTAAAAGTAAAATGGGAACAAATCAGACAACAACATTTCTTATTCTTTGACTTATTAGAAAACATATTATTTGTTTGCGAACTTGTCAGAAAGGGCCCTTTGAGTCACGATTTGAAGTTTTGGGCTGTGATATGATTGGCTGTGTGAAGGTAGACCTCTATTTTCTGTCTGAAAAAGCTGATGACAAGCACTGACAAAGGCCAAATACATGAATGTGAAAACTAGTGAAAGCAACAGTCTGTTTTGAGAAACTAGAACAAGTGGATGGATTGTATTTTTTAATTTATTTTTTATTTTTTTAAGGGTTCTGGTTCAAAGGGGGCATTGCAGCTTTAAAAATGTAAGTCCTAAAGATCACAAAAACATTGACTTATTTGTCAATGAGTCAAAAACGGCAAAAAAAAAACAAAAAAAATCTATTCAGTTCAATTGAATGTATTTTTGTAAGATAAGATAAGATAATATAGACTTTATTGATCTCACACAAGAGAAATTTACATCTGGCATGGATAGAATCACCCAAGATTGTGAAAAAAGTAAGAAATCTGCAAACATGTTAAATGCCGGATTTGTTATGTACAATAAAAGTGGCAATCAAGAAACAGCGTCAGGTTTTCCAGTCCTAATGCAAGTGACTTAAAGTGACTTATTGTACAGTCTGACAGCGGTGGGGATAAAGGCGCTCCTTCTCGCACTGAGGGTGTCTCAGTCTTCCAGCAAAACAAGCCCTAATGCAAAACAATAGTTATCTCAGAGGAAGCTGTCGATTCGCCAACACAAAGAATCAAACAGTTCAATCACAGAAAATGCAGATGAAATCAAACACGTAGAGCCATTGGTCCATAAAGGGCAAATGTTGAAAAAGTACATAAATGTTGTTGAATGTGGAGTATCATCTCGACTGTCCTTATACCCTCCTGCATTAGAAACGAAAAACTCTAAAAACCCAGTGGGAGAAAAGTGGGAAACCTTATTTAGAAACAAAACACAATAGCATCTTTTGCATACTTGTAACTTTAAAAACATGGCTGAAGTGAAGAACCCAATCTTGAATTTCGGAGTGGTTTACAAAACATGTGGGAATACAGTCTCGCAGTGTTGTTGTACGAGATCCATCTGTCCATACTCCTCGCTGTTTTTTATGTGATTTTATTATTTCTGATGCTGCTCAAATGAATGGCCCCAGGAGGGAAAAGCAGTCTGAATGTGGGTTGTGTCCTTGTGAGGTGTAACTCAGGGGCCTCTCCTTGATCTCTCTGCTCGGTCATCAGTCTGCAGTCTGTGATGTGGGCTGGAGGAGAGGGCCACTCCAAGGGCAAGCTCCCCCCGTCACCACAGTCTGCGTCCCGGGCTGAGGACATATAGAATTACTCCCTGGATCGATACGGAGTGCGAACCGCCAGAGCCTTTTCAATTAAAGCTGGGGAACCTAACCTTTTTTGTTTCTCAACAGAAAGAGTCTTGTAAAAGTAGGATGTTGTGAATAAATCAGACCACAACATGCTATATTCATCTTTGTTAGAAAACTTTATTATCTTAGTCAAAAATAAGACTCATCTCAACACGGTGAAAATCTTGGAGCCTCAGAAAGACTTTAATTCCTGCAGCACTAACACAATCTTGACTTATTCTTCAGCACTTTTTGCAGTGTATAACGGACTGCTGTGTGTTTTGCTTCCACTATGGTTTCACTTCATCATCCTTGCACATTCTTTGGTAGTGGTTGGGGAAAAAAATGATTAGATTCAGTATCGTGATATTTTCACAAGCAATTAACTCATTGGCTGCCAACCGTTTTTGATGATTTCACTAACTTTCAAGACCTACAGGATATTTTTTACTAGGATTATGTGAAATATAAAACCAGATTCTGAAAGATTGGACCGTCTACTTTTATCAGCAAAAATATTTTGGATTCTAGATAGTTTTGTTCTCCTGTAATCCCCAGTCGAATAGAGGGAAGTTATACAGAAATCACCAGTCTCAGCGAAATACGTCAATGGCAGTCAATAGGTAAAATTAATACATTAGAGCAAAGTTCTGTTTGATTAAATAATTATCTTTTTCACTTTCAGGTTTTCTCAGAGTTTACTCTGGTATTTTACATCTGAAGTTTATGTCACTCTATGATGTCTGCTTTTTGTGACTCTGTTGAATGAATAATTTGGGTTATGTGCTCGGAGCTCAACGTTCATTTGAGAGAGAATAATGAAGTCTAGTCTGTAATAAGGGCCTTTATCCTGAATATTCTAAGCTTTTTTACTTCAGTTTATCTGCAATCTCATTTTCCTCAACTTTTGTAATATCTTTAAATAACATGAGGGACACGTACCGCAATATATGGCAAAATAAAGTCGCACTGCAATAGTTAAGAATCACAATAATACTCAATTGTGGCCCAAATTTCGCAAATACTATTAAACAGTCCAATTTTTGCCAATTCCCACCCTACTCTTTGAAACCTTGTGATGTCACATCAACGTAACCTGTTCAAGCAATCATTTTCTTAGTCTTTTCTTCATTCGCTGCATTCAAACAGTCTCTCTGTGCGAAAGCGGCCTCTTTACACCAGCACCTGTCTGCGCAGTAGCCCCTCCCCCCTCCTTTCAAATAACAACAATCACCACTTTGGGCACGCTCCACAAACAAATGCCTTTAATACTCCTCCACAAAAGTAAATTATAAATGCTCCATCCTCCGTCCTCCATCACGCGCACCATTACCAGCGCTACAGGCTCTCTCCGGCTCGCGCTCGTTCATTAACAGTCCTATAGCTTGTGATTTGGGGCTGTTACGACCATTTATTTCACTTGAGCGAGCGGCTGCTAATCAGTCAAGGAGGCAGCTCTGTTATTCGTCCGAGCGGTTGTTGTATTGGTGTAAGAGGAGAGGGTTTAAAAAGGGCCAGTTTGGGCTGTATTTTAGTTTTTTTGTTTGTTCCTGTGTGAGGCTGAAGGTGGGAAAAGCGGCTTTCTCCCATTACACTACATTTAGATACATTTTGTCTTGAAGAATATATATCATCTATCATTTTTGGCCATTAAAATATGAAACGAAAATTAAGAGCAAAGTAATCCCCTTTACACAGACGGGGCGGAGTTATATGTTTGTGCTAGAAGTTCTAGCCTGGCCTTATCCATCCGTACACTCTGTTCAATCATCATTTCACTGCATGTAACGTCTGGGTCTAGTCCCTGTGTTAGCGATTACAATGCTGAAGGCGGGTGTTGCAGTTAGTTGTGGGTGATGTCAAGAGTTTGCGTCGAACGGGAAGGTCGTAGTTTGGCAATGACGAAGAATGCGATAGTAAAGTAATCTGGTCTGGTTCTATCAAGAAGTTGAAGCCAGAGCAAGAGGAATGTTTTGCAAATGTAATCGCTGGGCTCCGTTAGCGGCAAAGGAGATGGCTAGGCTAAATGCTAACGACAGACTTGGGCGCACTACATACGTCACGATAAACACAGATCTGATCGTTTCAATCTGCAAAAGGAGTTAACCCCTCCCACCTGTTCACGGAGTCAATGGATCACCTCCAGACCTTACTACCAAATGTCATTTGTACTATGGTTTGGTACGACCAGGCTATAGAAGTTCCTGATACTAGCATGGATTGGTCCAAAAAGAAGGTCTGTAACTAATGACTTTCTTTTGTTGTAACACAAATAAAGTTTATCTTATCTAAAAGTTGAAAAATCCAAGTGATTCTCCTCTTACAAAGTGAAGTTTTATTATAAATCTACTGGAATTTACTGTGAATTAAATATGGTTTGATTTGTTGCTTTTTTTGATCGTATTATGTCAGTGAACGCCACACACACACTCTGTTTGTGGTTAGCCTTCGCTGTGCATCAGTCACTGGGTTAGAGTCGGAGCAGAGAGTCTTCCATCGGACCGCTATGCCACGGCTCGGCACGCTTCGCCATCCATCACACTTAGAGACAGACGCATGGGTGCAGGTGTCGCACTGGTAATGATCTGGAAGAGCGAGGAGCCAGCAATGACGGCTTCAGGGCCATGTGTCTGCGAAGGAGTGCGGCCAAGGACTGACCACTGCACCCGCTGGACCCGGCGGGCAGCACAGAGCGTTCAGACAGGACACATGGCCACGCAAGGGGAAGATATCAGTTAGTGTTGTCATGGTTTTTGATGCCATGGAGATGACCATATGTTCTATAATAAATATGAGTAAAGTTTCATACTCAAGTCTAGTATAGAATCTAGTAGTAGTAGTAGAAATCCAGATCGTAAAAAAAGCTCCCAAATGAATTGTCCCTGAAGAGAAATTTGTCCCTTGCCTTTAAGCGATCCTGTAATTTTAGTGCTGCACCCGGAGACCCACCTCCTGATGTTGAGGCTTGGTTTGGTCAGGACCGGAGCTGGAAGATTTTACCTACGATGTATGTTTTGATTAGTCAGGGAAACTGGAGCGCCTGGAGGTAACCCACCGAGCCGCCCTGGCCCTCATGAATGATTTAAAGTTTTTATTATGTAAGTCACTGCATAGGAAGTGTGTGTGGATAGGGAAGTCTGGGCGTTTCTGCTTAGACTGCTGTCCCCGCTACTCAGCAATGGATGAAGCGGAAGAAAATGGGTGAATGGGTGGATGTAGGGCTGTACGATATACCGGAAAAATATGGTTATCGTGATATTGGTGCGTGTGATATCCATATCAAAAATATCCGCAATTACACACACACACAAAAAAAAATGTGTTTGTTTGTTTTTCCCTTTATAAAAGACAACAAAAGATTGCAATTTTTGGTGAAAGACGAAAATATCACAATAATATCGTTATCGCAATACTAAACACTCATCGATTATCTCACTAATTTCCAATACCGTGCAGCCCTCGATGGATGTATGACTCTGAATCTGAGGGTGCGTTCACACTCGGTTTGCTTCACTGACACTGGACGAATTCTGGTTCATCCTAAAGTAAACAAGAATGTGTTTCTGAATGAATTTGCAACTGGACTTTTCATTTGTGCCAGTGCGATAAACGATAATAATGACAGAAAACACATCACAAACATGAACGCGTCACTTAAATACAGATAAATGTGAAACTCACTTTGACCTCCGTGCCCAAGGATTTAGTCAGAAAACCTTTCTACAGTACAGCGCTTTTAAACAACACAAATATCCACACGTACAACTGGTTGACGAACGTAAGAGTCTTAAGACGGCTTGAACATAGTATCGTAACTTCCGCAGTGTTCCGCCTAATCCTCTTTCCCACTCCTCTCATTATTCTGTGCATCAGATATGAAACGGTAATCTCCTCAGAAACTATCCCAGTCACTCAAACCGTCCCGAAGCTTAGAAGATTCCACTCTCAGAAGAATCCACGGCCGTTAGTAAATGCTCCAAATTGCTTATTTTATTCTGACTTTTATGTGCGTTCCATTGGAAAATCTCCTTAAATACAGATTGGGAAGGTTTTCGGCTGAGAGTGAAGTTGCCTGGATCAAAAGCTGCCATTCTGAGGCCATGGCTGTGGACCGGGGGAAGGTGACTGCCCTCTGCAGGAGATGCAGAGGTGCGTTCTCGAGTGGAGCAGGTCTCAGGTCTGGTTCACAGCGATGGAACAGATTGACAGACGGATCAAACTTTTATTGAACGAATGTTAACCTTTTGGCGTTCAGTGCTGTGGAGGAGCTCTGTCTCTCCAAAACACAAACAAACTAAACCAAGTCGTGGCAGGAGGAAGCAAGATCTCAGGGAAGCAAATGGACAGAGCGTGGGCGGCACGGTGGCTGAGTGGATAGCACTCTCGCCTCTCAGCAAGAAGGTCCTGGGTTCGAATCCCGGTCGGACCAGGGCTTTTCTGAGTGGAGTTTGCATGTTCTCCCCGTGTCTGCGTAGGTTTCCTCCGGGTACTCCGGTTTCCCCTACCACTAAAAATATGTCCAATAGTTCTGGCATGTGCCTCCTGTTCGGCGACCCCGCTCCCATCTCTGTGTGGAGAGAGAGACAAATGCCCAAAATTAACAATTGTAAACCGCTTTGAGACTCAGATCTGCAGTGAAAAGGCGGTATATAAATAAAAACTTACTTACTAACTTACTTACTAAAAAAAACTTACAGAGGTGGACGGACTAACTTTGGAGCCTCCGTGGGAAGAATACAGACTGTTACCATCTGAACCAAAGACTGTAGATAAGGAGTGGACCGAGCGAGTGCTGGCGTCACCCGAAGTGTTTGGCAAATGCGGAAGAATGAAGGCATCTGATTGGTCAATACACATATGGCTCATGTCTGGATTTATAAGGACAATATTATAGAAAGCGCTAAACCACAGATTTGTTTTTAAATTGTTGTTTCAATTCAATTCAATGTATTTTTTTTCCTAAATCCCAACAGTAGTTTAATCGCAGAGGACTTTTGTCATGGTGTGGATTTTGTATTTTGGTTTTATTTTGAAATAAGTTCTGTGGTTTTGTTTCAGCTTGACTTCCTGTCCTGATTGTGTGCCCCGCCCTCATGTGCTTCACCTGTGTCTGTGTCTTTATGTACCCTGTGCTTCTCTGCCCTTGTTGCTGCTTCATTGTTTTGTCAAGTTCTGTCCTGGTTACTTTACATTTTTGGACTTTGTTTTATTAAAAAGCTTTAGTTGGCATTCCTGCGTTTGAGTCCTCATCTCACCCCACCACATGACAACTTTACAACACAGATTAGAGAATGAAACAGTTCTAACACAGAGTCAATTGTCCATAAGGGGTGGAAAACCATGGTTTATAAATGTTGAATGTGGAGTGTCCTGGATCCTCATCACCGTCCTTAGACCCTTCTGTATCAGCACGGAAAGACTCTATAAAACCCAGTGGGAAAAAATGAAAAACCTTGGGAGGGCTCCGCTCCCAGGGATGGACTGGTTTTCTTTTAAATGTAAGTGATCAGGAGCCCGAGCGAGTTGAAGCAAAAATATTTAAAGTTGAAACCGGTTATCGCCCCAACTTCTTTCTATCTGGCTGATATGTTATCGTGGCATGTTCATTTCAAGCCCATTTTCTCAGGAAATCATCCATATCATTTATTTTACTCTAAACAACAATCAGACAAACAATAATTAGTAATACAAAAATTTGTCCAAACATAACTGATTTTTTTTTCCTACAAAACAAAGAACCCTACAAATACACCAAAGTACCCACACATTCTGTAAACCAAAGCTATACACATGAAATTCTGGATATATTTCAACTTTTATTCTTAAAAAATCCATCCATCGGCAAACAAACCATGGCCTCAGAAATCTTTGTGATGCCTCCAATGATCCTTTGTCCCGCACAGAACTCAGACACTTTTTAATGTGCCTTATTATGTACTTTAGTTTTATGTGCGCTTCTGTGAAAGACATATTCTCTTCGGGGCAATAAATGTTTTAATTCAATTCCCTTGTTTTTTTCATCCGAGCATCGGTGAAGAGGAGGCCGAAAAAAGATTCTCAATTTAGAGGTCGGTCTACGTTCCCACCCGCACCTCCAGTATGGCCATGAGCTTTGGGGAAAGACCAAATGAGTTTCGTTCACAAAGAAGAGAAAGATTAACTGTTGATTAAAAATAAGGTATATATAAATGTATGATATGTGTCAATGCATAAGGATTTTTTATTGTGAAAATACAAAAATCTATATTATTAAATGTAATACTTGCTTCTGTATTATGCTAAAGATAGAGATTTAATTTTTTTATATAACTATTGTTCACTCATCTTGGTATAACTGGTAACACTGAAATTTCCCCACATTTGGATGAATAAAAGATCTCTAAATCTTAAAATGAATAGATATTAATCGAGAAATGTATTATTTTTATCACAGCACTACTTTAAAGCTTTAACGTGGGACACCTTTGACTTTAACTGTTGGAGAGCCGGTTTCTTTCTACTCCTTCACGTGCCACTGACGACCCACTTTCCCACTGATCAAGTGTGAAAAGAAACCCATCAATAATACAGACCTCACTTCAGTTCAAACATGGAGAGAACTTTTATTTCCACTCGGGCTCACAGCGGCTCCAGTGGAAGTGCCAGCGAGGGAGGTCGAACATGCAGAGTTGAAGGCGTTGTCAGCCGTCCCCGGGGTGAGGACGAACGAGACATCTGCTGCTGCTGCTGGTTATTGTCTGAGGACATGGCAGCCGGAATTCCAACACTTTTGTCACCCCCCTTTTCTTCTCTTACACTGCATACTGTCCAGACCACTCTAATGACAACTGTAGCAGGGATTCGGCTCAAGCGCTGGGCTCAACAGAGTGCATGGAAAGTTCAGGTCTCAAAAGGACTGGAATAAAAAAGGAATGGATACTAAACAAGCGATTGGATTCTGATTCAGAGTCTTCATTTCTTTCTTCTTTTTTTTTTTTATAGAGCCATTTACAACACTCAAGGCGACCATAGTGCTTCACGATATAATCACAATATCTATTCAAACATTTATGTATTCAAACAATAAAACAGTAAAAAAAAAATTAAAGGAGCAGTATGTTAACATGTGGCCAAAAGCGGTACTGCAGCCTCTCCCACTCTCCCTGACTCAGGTTGCCAGATATGCAGACGAATCCAGCTGGGACCATAACAGCTGAATATACAAGAATTTTGTCAACAACAAATCTATAACCAACACTTTTTCACAAAGATAGAAATCCTGGTTTTATTCCTTGTTTTGTCAATGTTTATGATTTGAGAATCACAACGAGACATTTTTTAGTTCTGCGCCACATGTTGCGTTACCAGTGAGCTCACCGCTCGACGCGGTGAGTTCTGGCGCCCGGATCACAGACTTTCTGATTGGTAAAATGGTGGAGGGCGGGACATCGAAATGAAAACAATAATAAGATTTAGGAGCTGTAAAAATACTTTTTAAGTTCAAACATCTCGGCTGAACTACTGTTATCTGTTTTATTAATGCCTTTTGACAGATTAGGACCATTTAATGATGACTTGAGATGAAAATCTTACATATCGCTACTTTAAAAAAACATCAACAAAGTGGGAAAAGTGTTAAAAGCCAGTCTGACGTGTTGAGCCTCCAAGATAAAAAAAAAAAAAAAGGCCAAACTCTGTCTTTTTTTGTCTTTTAATGTTGTTTTATGTCTGTACTTGTCCTGTGCACACTGGGAACTTTT